GACAGCTTGTAAACTTAATATGAGGCTAGAACCAGGCAGCAGCAAATACGTTTAGCTAAGCAAACCCCCAATGTGTCATATTTACACTTTTAAGCTTAACAATTCAACATGGTAGGTTATGTTAACTTGTAACAGAGCAGAAAGGTGTCTCATCTAACTCTCTGGAGAAGGAAAATAAGTTAATTTCCAAAAATAAGTTGATTTTTAGTTGTCCATGAGTCATATTAGAGGTTGTTAGCAATGCTATATTTCCTACCTGAGTATATTTTATTGTTGAAACAAAAGGTTGTGTGTATGTGCGTGCGCACCCCAGGATGAACAAACCACCCTCTGTGTTGATGAAGCTAATGAGAATCCCAATAAATGAAATGAAATGGAAAATGAAGAATGTCACTGAGACAAACCCGCCACAGGCCTTATCTGTCAATGACGTTGAAATCACACAATACTCACACAGCTTGTGGCATTCAGGGGTAGCGTGTGATCAATAGGACGGTGTTTCTTTCTCTTGCATCATACACTTTAATTAGCTTTACATGGCACTCCTACTGGAAAAGTAGAATTTTGTCCAACAAATAAATCAATAAGGTAACACCTCACTTGTCCTGTTATGTAGTCTGTTTGTTACGTCAGCACCTGGCATTCGGTAAACCCCCCCCGTCTCTGTTATACAAGAAACACACACACACACACACACACACACAGCCATAATGGAGCAATTATCCTCTACAGCTCCGATCTGCTTCTCTGATTGTAATTTGCATTTATTATTAGCCTTCAGCCTGCCAGGGGCTGTGAGGCGTGAGGATGGATGGTCATACACCACATCACACTGATAGACCTGCACAGATGCTTCATAAACGTGCCACATACACAGACAAAGTTACACAGATGAGGCCATTGTGACAGCGTGATGTGGTTTTGTTTTGTTAATGCTGATCCCTGTTAATGATGGGAACAGTGTGTTCAGTGGCGTTCCATCACAGAAGAACATGCTTCACGTTCCACTGTGACATCCTGCAGGACTGTGACGAGGCCCTTTTCCTGCTCTGTGTTCTCTCTTGCAGTCGGACCCGGGGCTCATCTTATGGAAATGTGTGAGGAGCAGAGTCTCTCAAGGCACATACAGTACATACAACCCGCCAGCACACTAATAGATGAGCATGCTGGGGCTTTCTCAAACACACACACACACACACACACACACACACACACACACACACACACACACACACACACACACACACACACACACACACACACACACACACACACACACACACACACACACACACACACACACACACACACACACACACACCACACACACACACAACCTCATACATGCACACAAAAGGGAATGTGCCCAGGATCACTGAAGTGTGAAATGATTCAGTTATCATGTCGTCTGTGCGGAATATATATTATATATATATATTTCCCATCAACCCTCTATGGCAGGTGTTCCTGATGGGCTGCTGGTGCTGTTTGAGCATGTGTGTGTGTGTGTGTGTGTGTGTGTGTGTGTGTGTGTGTGTGTGTGTGTGTGTGTGTGTGTGTGTGTGTGTGTGTGTGTGTGTGTGTGTGTGTTTTGTGCTTCTCTGTGTCCGTCTGTCTGTTCTCTGGGAGGAAGGTTGAGGGAGGTCTCCATAAAACTAGCTGAAATTGTCAAAACTGATTTTGCGGCTCACAAGAACTTTACACATGGCTTCCACTTGCTATTTTGAGTGCATATGGACAAGAATGGCAAAATGGAGGTCACTATTTTTGACTGTTGAGTACCCTGATGATCTGATGGTACAGATGTTTGTCAAAAAGTTTAGTATTGAATGATAGGCATTTGCAAAAGAGTTATTAAACCTCCAAATAACTATTTTGTGAGAACCGTAGGCAAGATGGAAGCCATTGAGGATTGCAATTGTCCATCATTCAATACTCAACTTTTTGACCGACATCTGTGCACCATCAAGGGAATCTATAAAAAAATGAACTGATGGTGTCTACAAGTTATGGACACCAATTCGTTTTTTCCCTTTTTGTTTTGTTTTACTCCTTTACAACTTCTTGAGTTGTGGAGCTATAGTTATTATACTTAACCCTCAATTGGACTCCTTGTTTACTTTAGTTACTTAGTGACATCACTATGGGTGAAAAGAGGTGCTGCAGCACAGGCAGTGTGAGAAAAATGTTGAACATTAAAGCATGTAAACATCTCAGAGTAGAGGAACAAAATACAATTATGAAACCTGAAAATGAGCATCATTTGGCACGTTTAAATCCCTGTAAACCTGTTTCCTCGAACATTCTTTGATTACAGTTGTTGGGTTGTTTACTTATGTAGCCTGCTTTGTAGATCTAATCCAATCAAAACACACCACAGAGAGTCCTGATGAAGCAAAATCGACAAGTCTGAATGAATCCTTGACCTTTTAAAAATCGAATCTAAATGATTAAGAATTCCACAACATTCTATGAGAAATAGACTGTGACTAGTGGATGTGTTGTTGCCCATTTCTTTGCTGAGTTTCTTCCACTAATGCATTGACAAAGCACATAAAATGCTACTTATTCCCTCCTCTGCACTCTAGAACACACACAGCCTACTCAGAAGCATTTACACACTCACTTATAAACACACGCACATGGTTCAGTGGCATGTCGCTGTGCATGAGAGGGAACCCAAGGGAGAGCTCAGTCCGAGCAACTTCACTGCACTGCCTAATTGGTGTGTGTGTGTGTGTGTGTGTGTGTGTGTGTGGGTGTGTGTGTGTGTGTGTGTGTGTGTGTGTGTGTGTGTGTGTGTGTGTGTGTGTGTGTGTGTGTGTGTGTGTGTGTGGGTGTGTGTGTGTGTGTGTGTGTGTGTGTGTGTGTGTGTGAGTGATGGAGTAGGAGGTGAAGAGAAAGCATGCACATTTACCAGTTCAAACTAACCTCACCTTTCTCTAAACACTGCTCTAAACTCTGGCACAAAATGAACAAGCCTGTCAGTCATGTGCTAATTTAGTCTCTGTGGGAAGTCTTCAGCCTGTCAATATGACAGTTTGTATCTTCCTGAAATTATAAAACAACCGTGAAACAGTACAGCCAAGTGCTGACGTGACCTGAATCTTTTAACCACACACACAATACCTCCAGCTCCATCCTCACAACACACACACACACAGACACACAGATTCAAGACAGAGGGCAGCTTTTTTCGATGCATGGGCAGCTAATGTAGCAGTTACAGCTACTTATTGGATGACAAATGGCTGACATGGGGGGTGGTCAGAGACAGCTAGGCTGTGTAAGATTGGCAAGGGAGAAAAGCCTTCAAGATTTATATTTTCTGAGGCTTAGATATTGTATATTTGACTTAATTTGCATTCAAATGTATTTTTGGTGAGGTTTTAGTCAACAAATTCCACAAATCAGCCATAACAGCTTTGCACTTCTGGTGTCGGCCTATAAATATATACAGCAGAATAATAAATAGTAGCATAGTGATGTTTTAGCCCAAAAAGATATGTAATGAAGACTACAGTAACATTTTATACATATTTCTAAAACACCTGATAATAATGGGCTTAATTAAAGTTTAACAACCAATACAATAAAAAGAAGCACATAATTATCTATTCAAAATATTTATTTGTAGTCTGCATATTTCTTTAGAATTGCCCGATTTCCGGCAGCCATGAAGCAGCACTGACTCTGAGTAGCTCTATTACTATGGTAACGACTGTTTGCTACGCTGTTGCGTCTGTCCTGCTTGAAATAACTTAGCTAGCTAGGTTAGCCATAACATGAGGAACCCTTAATTAACTTCACATGAATGTTTCACAATTTAAAGAATAAGTATATTGAGTTGCAGTCGAGGTATCTTCCTCAATGAGCAGGTGAGCAACTGGCTTACAGACATTACATATGCGAACGTTAATTAACAGTACAGTTAATAAATAATGGTTACAAATAATGATGTTAGCTACATGCTACCTTAAGATGGCTAGCACTTAACTGGCTACGCTTGTAAATGAACATGCTATAATAACGTAGTCATTTATTACAGTAACGGAATGCTTCAGCTTTTGTTAAATAAATAGCAACGTTTTGGAGGAAATGCATGTTGGGAAGTAGTCAGCATGCAGCTGGATAAATGAAACTTGGATTATCCTGCTCAAGATGTAAATAATTATGATAAAGGTTAGCTGTTGTGAAACAAGGCCCCATTTACTTCCATTCAAAAAAAGTTTCTTCATTTTTTTTGTCTTGTACTGTGTGGAGAACGGCAAAATAACGTTTTTTTTTAACATTCAATGTGACAAGAGGTGGGTATTGATAAACAAACAATTATGATTTCAGGGTTCAAAAACACACACAGGCCAATGTAGTGCCTGGAAAAGATCTGCAAATGAAAGACTTGAAGAAGTGCCATGCAGACTTAGGTACAGTTCCTCTTCCCACACATGAGCCAAATATGGTGGAAGCACAGTGCGAGGAAGAGGAGGTAAAGGATGAAGACATTAAGGCACCATTGGAGCTGATAATGAAGGTAAAGTGAATGATGTCTATCAATGACTCCACACACTTCATGCACCGCTGAGAGGATGGGCTGTTTCATTTCAGATGCCTCAGTAGACAGACACTAGGACCATCCGCAACAAAACCCTCTTAAACTGCAATTCGGCATTCATATTTTTATTTTAATACTATCACACAACTGTATATATTGGAATACACGTTACTTAAACTTCTTGTATTAAATATTATTATTGTATTTTGGACATTCTATGCAACATGTTTTAATGTTTATAAAGATATTTTAATTCTATTTTATCTTATTATTTTTTATTTCATTGGACACTCTCACTAAAACTTCTCCTGTTTATATAAACACAAGCATTCTGATTCTGATCAAAAATCATTTTATCATTTGTTTTAGCAAATTATGTTTTGCGTCATCTTTGTTATAATTAAGTGAGATTGAGACTCAAGCTAAAATGTTGATTTCAGTTCCTCAGAGCTGTGATGGACAGAGACTTGCAGCTGGCCAGCAAACTGTGTCGGATGAGTAAGTATCCTGCATCCATCCACTGAAGTCTGTCAGTCAATAAATCAGCCACCGGTGATGTTAGCCAACGCTGCCTCTTCTTTCATTCCATGTTTCAGTTCTAATCTATGAACCAGACAATCCTGAGGCCTCTGAGTTTCTCCCGCTGATCCAGAAGAAGCTGTCACAGGGTAAAGTGTTTTTTAAAATATTTTTGTACAAAAACCGACACAGCATATTCAAAATCACACCATGAGCTTTTGTCATGCCTTTTCTATCAGAGCAAGAGACAGGGCAGGGCACTGAGAAGGAAGATGCTGACGGGGATAATGAAGCTGAGGAAACATCTCCAAGCTCAGGCTCATCATCAGATGATGATGAGCCTGAAGAAAAGCAAGTAAACAGACACAAGTCTTGTCCTCCTTCTCACATTCATCCTTAGTCATTGTACCAATACAACTGAATGTGAGTCACTGTCAATCTTGTTGCTTCTGGATAATTGTATATATTTAAATCCAAGCAACCTTTTCTTTGTGTATTTTGTAAAAGCTGTGACAATTAGGTTTGTATTTTCACATTTTAACTGCAAATAAAATATTTAAAGTGGACAACCTATAATCTTGCAAAATCTGAACATTACTTTTCCAACTGAGCCCCATCAACAAATAAGAAATGTCTCTTCAGGAAAACCCAGAATTCTCTATATTCTCATATAAAAGTATAGTTCATTTATTTTAACAAGTCTACATTTGAACTGAAAAGAAGGGGCGTGCACAAGTCCAGGCTTCAGTACACTGAGAGACACTGCATTGACCCTCTTTGGTTCGCTGCTAAACAAATAATTGTTTTATTTAGATGTTGTGGTTGCATAACTATGAGTAGCCCATGATAGATACTGTTACAACCCGGCTCCTGGGCTGCAACAAAAAGCAGGGAGGCGAGACGAAGAGTAAGAAAATAACAATTGTTTATTCTCAATAACCAATGAAGTGAAGAGAACCAGCAACAGTGAGTGCCCAAAGGAGTGAGAGCGACGTAACGGCTGCTCCTATATCCTTTTCCTTTCCAGGTGTAGCTCATCAGGCAGGTATCCTCCCACAGGTGCGACTCATCAGCCATGAACCTGTGAACACCCACAAAGCACACCCAGCACCAGACGGCACCCCACGTGGTGTGGAGGGGTCGTCACAAAAGTTAAAGCAAATGTAATCATCATACAATCCAAACTTTTCTAACTTATTGATAAGTGTGCAACACAAAAAAAGAAGTGAAGCCATATGCCTCACCTCATGTCACACTGTAGCAGCAATTGGGTATTTTTGCCTTTAAAGGCTCCAGGTGAGTATTTGTAATTTGTGGGAATGATTATCATCAAATAACGAGTGCAGTGCCCTGTGAATAAACATCTTCACATTTGCTCCCAAACAATGCATCACAGCTTGCAATCACATTGTGCGATATTGGTTTATATATCATACATCACATGCAGGGAGAACAATGCTTAATGTGGACGGACACAAGGTATAGGAATAGGTGTTCTGCCTCAGAGATGACATATTTACTGGTAATTTAGTAATTATCAATAACATTTATACAGATTTGAGTTAACTGTACATTTTGGACTACTTTGGACATCTGCTTGACCATGATAAGTGCAGATTTGTATTATTTCATACACTTTTTTTATTGATTTGTAGTTATTTATTGCTCTTGTGTGACACCTACAATCAGATGGGGGTACCCTTTTTTAAGCGTTTCAGCCCCTCAAAATATCTTTGCACGTGCCTGCAGTGAAGGCATTTCTTTGGATGAGGATGCTGACAATAAAGCATCTTTTTTACAATTCTCCGCACTCTGTAATATCATCACTTGATAAAGGTTACACCATCAGCATCCTACAGTGTAGCGTGCTATCAGCCGGTATGTTCTGAGTTAATATCACATGTCAGAGCGTATCTTTATGAGCGGTCTCCACGCATGACTCGTGAAAAGAGAAGTGTGAGCGCCATCTGATAAAGCCTGTGTAATTTGCAGTGAGTGAATGAACATAATGGCTGCCCATTCAGTGCCAGGACACAGGCATGAGGATGACAATAAGTTAAAGCCAGGCTGGATTCACTTTGATGTCTCAGTGTTATTGTCCATGTCAAGGTTATAAAAAGTGTAAGGTGCAGGTCAAAAATAATGACGCATGCAGGGCTGTCATATCATGAAGGTAAGTATTACAGTGGATGGATCATGGCTTTCTCTGGGTGCCCATTAAAGCCGATTTCCATTGTATTGTATCTTAAACCCAAGTGTGTTTGTCATCTCAAGGTCAATTGCTGTCTTTTTACCATCATGTGACACCCACCCACACCTGGAGACACACACACACACCCACACACATACGTCACTGGTGCTTTTCCTTTTTGCTTTTTAGGCTTCTTCAAGTGTATTGTGGCTGTCACAGGCACTCAGGGAAGCTTCATTAGTCGTCAGAGGGAGGCAAGGCTGTGACTCATTCTTGCGTGAAGAGACCAATGGGCAGCCGACAGTCTGAGATATAAATAACGAATAAACAAAAATATATATATTCTTGAGGGAGAACGGGTCACTTGCGCGCCGCTGGATGGGAATTTATTAGCGCGCTTTCTGTTGGTATTCCGCCATCACTGGACTGTTGCTTGTCGTGCCTTTTGGAGGCGATTGAAACACCTTTAGTTTCTCTGGAATCGACAACCTGTGAGCCGGTAAGATGTCTCCTCCTTTCATTTGATAGGACTAAAAAAATAATCACACATATGTTTTTTTATCATAGTTTTAGGGGTTAGAAATATACCAACAAAAGAAAAATATGTTATAATTCGCCGTGCCCGATGAGTGGCAGAAGGAATTAGTTAATTGTCTGTCTCTCATGCCATGGTGACATTGAGTGATGATGGCATGGGATGCGCTTGTTCAAAGCGCAACTTAATTGAAATGTCGATCGGTCAGTCAATAGGTAGCCTAAATGACGTGGGTTATTAATAATTGCATCCTATCAATATTTGCTTAATAAATCAGCCTGTTTAAAAAGAACTTCGTCAATCTATCATGGCATCCATTCGTCAAATTGTCCTCAATATGTCATATGGCAAGGTATGCATTATAACGGTCTGATACCCCACTGATATATAATGGAAAAATATGACTTTGCTTCGAGCTATTACAACGTATCTTATATGTGTACCTGATAACTTTTGGATTGTATCTTTAAAATGTTATTAATGTATGAAACGTAATGAGTAGCTATTTAATGGCCATTCGAATGCAATAAATAGCAGGCTATCTCCAAAATGAATAAACCCACAAAGGCATTGTGTTATATCACCGATACGATTTATCCAGACGTGCGTATCTACGCGTCGTGCGCAATTTCTCTCCAAATTGCGCGACTTTGTAGCCGAACCAGTTATCATTTGGGGATTAATCGCATTTTTCTGGTTGAATCCTGGTCTACAAATAAAATATACTGTAGTTATTCAGATAAATAATGTATATGTTAGGTGTGAATTGCTCCTAACCTTGGACCGTTTTGTTTGCAGTTGAATTATTTCCCAGCTGGAGATAACAGAGGACTGATGGCATCGTCTGAACCGAGAGCCACCGGCGGGGAGCAGGACCCCAACTCCGCCAATTTAATACCACCGTCCACAAGTAAGGTCCTTTCTCTGCTAATAACACCGTGATCTCGTATCGATCCCCGGGAGCACACTATCGTTAAGGCTGTCCCTCTCTGAAACGACAGGGGACTCGGTGCCTTGCTCAAAGACACTCATACAGTGCGATGTAGTGCCAAGACGAAGGCTTAAAGCGAACCCCCCTCCCCACACACACTCCTCTCTCTCTCTTTCTCTCTGCCTCCCTGCCCCTTCCTCCCCTCTTTCTCTGTCTGATAAAAGCCAGTCTCGCCCGGGCCATTTGCTGTGTGGGCTCCGTCGTTAATCATTCCGGTTAAAAACAGAGCCATCAGCTGCCTGTCTCTGTCTGGCGGAGCAGCGGTGCGCGCCGAGCCCTGCCTGGCGATGGAAATAATGCTCTATTAAAGCTTTGTTAGGATATTTATAATGATCCAAGAGCATTTAGTCCAAACATTAAAAATAAATAAATGCATTTTCCGAACGAATATATTCCTAACAATCTTCCCCTTTCCTGAATTAACGCCTTCGTTTCCTGTTTTTTTTATTATGTATGTATTCCCATGTTTATTTTGTAGGATTCTTCAAAAAATCAAACGATTTTTATTTAGGATTTATGTTATCATGGTAAATCTTATCTCGTTTCACAAGATGTTTTAGGCCCTTAAGGCTGCATATATTAATTGCTCTTGGAGAAATGCTATTATTTTTTACCCCTTTTTTTTAAGTGGCTGGACCTATTAAGATACATTAGTCTGTACATTAACCCACGGGTTAATTAGCCATTTTAAGCCGTTGTCGCATGCAAACAAATCAACCCCATAGTGCACTTGAGCAGCCATCTGCAATGCAACGCTGGGAGATAATTACAGTTTGTTTGTCTTTGGCCAAATGTAAAAGGAAATAAGCAAGGTGCATTTCCTGGGGAGCATTCAAATCCATATTTTCTCTATTTATCGAATAAGATGTAACTTTTAAACATTTTATCAATAAACACATTACAAAAAAAAGCTCAAATGTATTGCAAATGTGAATTCGTTCCTTTAAAAAAAAGATGTTTGTATTGTCTGTCGTATACTGCTGCTGGATGTTGCCATTATCTCTTTTCCACGCTCCATCTCACGCCTTCCGGCAAGTAGTGTCTGCGCGCGTGTCTGTGCGCACGCATGTCTGCTTATCTGTTGGTGCCTTGGCCTCAGTACCTCGAGCTGTACTTTTTCTCACAGTGAATTTAAATACTTGTTTTTGTTGTGAAAGTTTTCCATCAGATGTATTCGCCGCCGCGCGCTCTGCATTTTATTCCCCCTGGCTTCTGCTCCATGTCTGCTCACGCATGTCCAACCACGCATCGGTTGTGGGTGTGTATGCATGACGCGCACTGTAAGTTTCTGCATCAAGTCAGTTATAGACTCTCCGGCCACAGGCATTGCCAGCTCGCTCCAGTCACATACTGTGTTTCACTCAATTAATTCCTGCGCTCCTCTGTGAGCTCATTTCACGGGCGTTAATTCCAGTCCGCCCCTTGGCTGGGTGTGTGAGCCGGCGCGGATATGCCGTGCGTCCGGTGCCTATTGATTGAACTTAAATCGGAAATGTTATAAGACTCATCCCTTTATAATTAGCATGGGTTGTGGTAAATACAAAAGTGGATACCTTCTCAGCCAAACAATGAGAAAAAAATACTCTTTAACGCTTGAAAAAACCAACACAAGTGTTCAGAGTCACACACCCGGCCAGGAGCCGTGCGCATCACGCTTCCACTGTGCTCACTGTGCTCCACCAGCTTTATATCCATCATCCGCACCATCCAC